AGAATAAGTCAGAGTTGCTGTCTCTTCTAAACTGCGGGGCTTAAAAAGTCTGAATCGTTTCTTTCTCTCATTTCTTCGCTTTTGTCTTTGAGGCAAGTTGAAGCTGTTTGTTTGAGCAGTAATATGTGTCAGTTCATCACTTTGTAAAGAAATGTAAATTATATTTTAATATAAAGCCAAAAAAAAAAGACACTTAACTGGCGCAGCATTTGTCAAGTCTAAACCGTGACGTGTTTGCCTATATACTGTTCTTTGGCGATCTAGCAGTGAAGACTTTTTGCAGTGTTAAGGGTTTAGAGACTGTTTTACAGGAAGTTTCTATACATATTTTGTTCGTCCTTACTCTGCATATGTCTACCTGATTATTTCTCTAACTGTAAGCATTTAAATACAAGGTGGAAATAGTCACTAATGCTTAGTGAATCACTACACTGGGACTGTGCGGAGGCTAATTGGAGAAGGAGGACATCAGTTCTTGGACACTGACAAGCCAGTGTTGACACAGCACGTTTAGATGAGCCATGGCAGTTGTACAGTCAGACTGTGTGTGTGTGAAATTTTATCACCCCCGTCATTGTCTTGGATGTGTTGTCTAAGCACATTTCAGTAATGTAATTCACCAGCCGCCAGGATGCTCAGCATCTATCTTCACATCTAACTTGTCCAACAAATCTGCAATTACTGCGTGTGTGATGAATACAGTTCCCTTCATGACGAAGTCCGGGCCTGATAGTTGTGTACGACTCGTGTCGGTAACACACATGCGCTTCGTTCAAGGGTTTATATGTTTATCCCTGAGTTATGGGGGAAAATTGTTACATCTCACAACTGTACTTTTTATGTCACTCATTACTATTCAGTGTCAAGGACGTGTGTGTGTGTGTGAGTTAGACTGGGTGTGTGCGTAACTCCCTGTCACTCTGACTGAATGGTTTTCTTTTGAACCAAGAACAATAGACTTATGTACTTGTGAATGGTTTTTCTATTTAGTTCCTTGATTCAATGTTCCTTGCCTTTCTGCAAGTCAAAAATGCTGTATTTATTACATGCCACAGCGCTTATGCAATTGTATAATCCTTTTATTGTTTGTTTTTTTTCTTCTGTTTGTTTTTTTAACCTTTTGTGTTCCTTATTGTCAATGTAAATTGTTGTCAAAACTTTTGTGGCAATGGAAAAACTTCTGCTAAAGGAGATTTTCTGTACTTTTTGGACAATGATATGGATTTGTGGGTAGAATTTTGGAAATTCGTTTCTAAGTGCTTTCAAGTATTTACTTGGCCTTATGTATATATATCTATCTATGACATTTCAGAAAGGTATGTATAGTAATTCAACCTGAAATTGTTGTAAATAAATTATATATTGTTAAATCAAGGACTGGATCTTTCACTTGAAACATTAAGTGGTGTTGTTAAGGGTTTGATTTTAAGGGACCAGACAGGTGCTACTAAATGTTAATAGGTCACTGGTTTGTTTTATATTGTCAGGCTTCAAAGACTCGCTATCACTCAGACTATAAAATGTTTAGTTTAAGGGAATACTTTGACATTTTGGAAAACACTTAATCACTTTTTTGGTTAGAGTTTGATCAAAATGTTGCATTAAGTGATAAGTATTTATTTAATTTGGTTAACATTTGGAGTAAAAAAAAAATATTTGAGATGACAGTGTTTCCAAATGGTAGTATTGTTAGCGCCTCTGTCACAAAGACAGCAGCATTGCTTTCCACTTTCCTCAGAGCCTAGTAACTGCTAACAACAAAAGGACACACTGCCTTTTGTTTTCTATATTTGCATTGGTTGTTCACCATTTCTGCTACTGGAGATAGTAGCTGCAAAGAACTTGCACGGATACTCTGGTCACCGGGGTTAGCTACCATTAGCTACCAGGGAAAACAAAAGTGCTATCCCCTTCCTGTTTTGGTTGTGCACTGGGATGGGATGTAGCTTTGCAGAGATAATCTAAAGAAAGAAACGTTAGTCCAAATCTGACTCATGATATTTCATTTCGTCTTAAAATGATATCAGCACCCAACCCATCTGTCCTTTTCCAGATTTCTTTATCTGACATTAAGGCAACTTCTCTTGATGTAGGTTAGCTAGCATTTTGCTAAAATTTGCAAACTTAAAAATGGAAACTTTGGTGCTTTTGAACCTGAACACTATTTCCCCACATTTTGTCATTACTAAATGACCAATGGAGACAACAATTTTAAAATCATTCCACTACTGAGAGAGTGTTGCAGCCACATCAGAAAAACAGGCTGCAGTGTAACCCCTGCCGGCAATTGTGCACTCACTTTTCGGTCTTTATAGCACGTTGTTTTTGTGACCGACAGGCTCAGATGGTCATTTTAAGTGTCTGACAACATTATGTGTAACCAAGTCTTCACCCAAGGAGAAGTCTCATTCTGAAATTTTGCATTCAGCCATGAAACAAAGTATTTTAGACAACACTAAGCCACGCTGTCCGTACTCCAACAACAACCAGCACTTCCTGGTACTCCTCTCTCCAACTCCACCATTGTTTTCCTGCAAGAAGTCACCTCTTGCGAGATTTCAGAAAGAGCCTTCTTTCTGAGGGAGACTTCATTACAATGATAAATAGACCAGCGAAAGGTAAGGAACTTTGCATTACTCTGTAGGGTCTTTTCTGTAATGTTGTCAGTCACTTCAAATAACAATCTGAGCCTGTCAGAGGCAAAAACAAGCACTTCAAATGGACTTAAATTGACAATGCACAATTGCTGCAAAGGATTAGATTGCAGTCTGTGTTACCAGGGGATCTGACAGCTACCAAGCTTACTCAAATGTTATTAGAACAAAAGAAAAAGGGCCGGCTTTAGGAAAGGTCAATTGCAAAGTTAGACCAAGGCTTATAGGGAACCAATCTAAATCTAAAGTTTTGCTCCAGGTGGTATTTTGTTTCTGCTCGACTGTTTCCAACCTGCCAGTCAGGTCACAAACTCTCATTTTACAGCTTAACAGTCCACTAAAATATCTTTCGGACTGCATATATGGTGAGAAATAAGTTACAGTTACAGAATCTTGATTCATATTTGATTGGCGTTGTCTAGTTTTTTTCAGAGATTATCCGTCTCATTTAGTGCTTTGTGAATATAGTGAGTTTTCGCAAATATGATGTATCAAATTATTTTTTTATAAAAAGTTACCAACTAACAGCTTTAAAGCAAAAAATGTGTCTGTCCACTTTAATGACTGGCTATTATAAAATTATTAACATCCACATGGAGAACATTGTACTTAGGTCTGTTACAGCAGCAAAGCTGTTTAAGTTATGTTAAAAAAATACAAACACTTATTGTACTCACAAAAAACAGAGCAAAAACATTAGAAAGTCCATTGTCCTCTTGTTGGGGAGCAGGTGTTGGTGAAGGCAAAGACAGCCAAAACCTCAATCAGTACAAACTCTTACAGATGGGTTCACCTCAAAAGAACACTTCAGCCCAGTGTTTTGCCCCAGCGCTTGGCATTACTGAATTTTTTTTATTTGAAATGTCCAACAGCTCTAAAAACAACACTTACAGGCCCATTCTGAAGCAATATAAATACATATTCAACCATGACATGAAAGTACTCTAAGGAAATATCACAATATCATTGTAACATGAGGGACAAAATCATCTGAGGTTTCTTTTCTTACATTACAATAAATCCAATAAATGCTGATAATCTCAAAAGACTTATCTCCTTATCTTAGGAGTGAAACATTTAAAAACAAGAACAGCATTTCCTTTCTGTCACCCACATTGGATTATTAAAATTGGATCGACTGAGGATTGTTAAATGACTCAAAATTACAGTTATTAACTGCTTCTCACGTTGGCTCTGGCAAATCAGAGCTCATACTGCAGTTAGTGCTTCTGCGGAGAGGTGAAGGGGTCCAGTCAAGCAGAAATGGGACACCCCCCTTTATGCTTGACTGGACCCCATTACGTTAATAGGCACTGCAGTAAGAGTCAGTGAGTGGGCCAGGGTCTTGAATTGGGCCACCACTTCCCCACACTTAGTACAGCAGCAGTGGCAGATCATTACTGCAATATGTGAGATTATTAAAGGCTAAATGACTCCTTCAACTTGTAAGATACTGACTTGATCTCACTTCAGACTGAACAAGGCTGAGATTAGTAGAGTCGTGAGAATTCGTCACTTACTGCTACAATTAAATCTAGATGAACTGCAGCTGCACTTTTTAATGTCTTATCTAAAAAAAATTACTTGAGAGTCAAAAAGTTAGTGATGACATGAAACAATTCCTTGACTACTTCCAGTTATACAACACAGCATCTGGTATTACAGGCAGTAACATGTGTACTGTCCTTTTCACACAGGAAACTAACAGTACGTGAAGCTAACATTAAAGGGACAGTTCACTCCAAAATCAAAAGTACATGTTTTTCCTTTTGCCTGCAGTGCTATCAGTCTAGATTATTTTGAGGTGAGTTGCAGAGTGTTTGAGATATCGGTTGTCTGCTGACTTCCCTCTTGAATGTAGATGGCCAAAAAATACATTTGAAAACCTCAACAGCAATGTCTCTTTTCAGAAATCATGACCTGGTTACTCAAGACCTTGTTAAGTTCAGTTTCATGTAGGAACTATTTTCTTTCTACCAAACTACGCCTGCCAACTGTATCACCATGCAGAAGGAAGCATGCATCCACTGCTAGCTCACCTGGCAACACTGAGCTAACTTATGTTAGAGCTGAGCCGAGGATCTGTGTACATCTTGCGCTTTTACAAGCATAAGCCTCTATAAGCGCTTCTTTCTGCACAATGATTCAGATGGTGGTTGTAGTCTAGTGGAAAGGAAATAGTTCTGACATGAAACTGCTCACAACAAGGTCTGTGGATTGTCTTGAGTAACTGGGTCATGATCTCCAGAAAGAGACATTGGGGTTGAGTTTTCAAATGTTTTTTTTTTTCTGTTGCTTTGAGCACCACAAGCCGAGTGCTGTCTAGTTCCATTATATCTGAGAGAGAGCAGACATCTCTATGGCTGATATCGCAAACACTCAGCAACTCACACCAAAACAATCCAGACTGATAAACAGCTCTATAAGTAACGGAAAAAATATGTATTTTTGATTTGGGGTTGAATTGTCTCTCTGAGCCTCAAATGTAGAAACAAAGGATAGAAAAAAAGAAAAACGGAGTGTAACTAGGTGTGTGGTTGGTGAAGAGAAGAGATGTAGAGTGTGTACGAGTGTGCCGGAGGGCGGAGTGGGGTAAAGAGGAGGGAGAGAGAGAAGTGTTGCTTCCTCTGAAGATGAAGCTCGCTCTCTCACACTGGAGCAAAGGCATGGCCTTTGCACAGGGGCTTATCCTTCTTCGAGTAGAACGTCTTCCCCTCCAGGTTGATTTGGCAGAGCTTTAAAGATGAAAGGAGACAGACAGACAGAGAGAGACAGATTGAGAAACCAGGGCAGACTTGATATCACACCCCAACATTGCCAATGTGAATTTACACTGTTTCCTACTGACCACAGCGGGTGCAGAGTATTTACTCAACTGCATTTACGTTCAGTTTTCTTTACAGAATGACAGAGAGATGGAGAGAAGTGATAGACTGCAGGTGACAGGGTGAAAGAGAGAGACGAAAAGGAAAGCTCGAGGTCCAGAGATGGAGGTGGATTTTTTTTTCCAGGTGGCATTGTGCTGGGACAGCCAGAAGAGATGGGGCAAAGAGAGCCCCACAGGGAGCCATATCAATCAAAATGACTTACAGCACAGACGAAGCACGTATCGTGCCAGCTGTAGCCCAAGGCCTCCAGAAAGCGATCCCCGGCATCAATCTTAAAGTCGCAGCCATGGCATTTGGTGCCAAACATCTTCTCATAGTCTAGAAGAGAGAAAATATGAGAGGAGGAGAGGTGGTGAGCAGCGGAGATATGCTAGATAGCCGTCAGAATAAAAAAAAAATAAAACAAATTCAAAAGAGCTTTTATCGTCCTCCGGATCAGGTCAAGCATCCGCCATGGCCTCCACAATCACCATATGTAAACATCACTTAACCTTTATAGGATGTTGTTGAGCAGAGTGTGAAATAGGTTTCCACCTCTTTCATCTTTTAAAAGAACTGGAGGCTTTTACTCTTGTAGAGAACTAATATCCCACCACACACACACATTTGAGGACGGGAATGGCGGCAATAGAGATGGATGAAGCTGTTTCGAAGCCAAATGTTGGCGCCTCTCCTCATTGGGCACCTGATACTTTGCTGTTTATGTTATTTTGTCCACCCTGTGTACCTCAGTGCCTTTCCAGAGTGTAAGGGAGGGATTAGGATGAGGGGAAATTGCTCCAGATACTTAACTGGATTTGCCAGTCTCTTTCATCACAAGGACTCTGGGGAAAGTGTCAGGTTATAATGCTGCTTCTCAAGAGTGAGTGTGTGAGAGCTGCCGCACAATCCCTGAAAGATGCTGAGGCAGCAGAATGTTTATCAGAGCTAAAGGCATTATTCAGAGCATGAGTACTCAGGTTCTGGCTTCGCCTCTGATAGAGCAGCGATCCACGTCAGAGCCTCAGTAGTGAGCGAGAAGCACGCCGCCCTGCTAAATCATTTACAGCATAATAGAAGAGCACACACCATTCATAAAATCCAACAAAGAAATGTATGAAGTAAACTGGAGCTAAATAGATTACAGCAGATGAAAACATCACACTTTATGATTGACTGTGGTATGCGCCAAAAAGATTCATGATGTCGGCCCACGCCAAACCCCACAGCAATAATACAACAACGCAATGTTTTACAAATAGCTTTATGAAATAAAATATAAAATGGCTCAAGCAAAACAGGAGAAGGGACGCCCTGCAGTGAGCTATTTTTTTTGTCTTTTTCAAAAGAACTTTATCACAAAATGCACTCGGCGAGACCTGTGAATCACCCAGTGGCTGCTTCTCTGTTTTCCTACCCCAGCTTTTGTTGTGTACCTTGAACTACACTGTACGTCGCTACGACATCCATTTAAAGTAAAAGGATGAAACATTTTTCATCAAATAAGCTCGATCACAAACTTAATGCTGCGTGGCGGGGTGTCAGTTCTCCCTCTGTTCATCCGTGTACTCCTAAGACAGATTTACGATAAATATGTAAGGCTTGATCCATGTGTTAACTTACAGGGGGTCTTACATGGGTTGAGATGTTCTCAGTTGGCAGTGAAACCAATCAATCTGCACACTGGGGACTTTGAGGTTCCTTTTTTTTTCACTTTTGCCAGTGTTTCATATTTTCTGCCCTTTGAAAACCGCCAGCCTTTTATTCAGGTTTGCATTTTCTGTTAAAGCTGCGGTTTGTTCAGCCATGGTGGTGAGTGCTGCAAGTTTTTTCTTAAATTCTTCTCTTAGAAACCACATCAATATGATGTTTCCCTTTGTTTCCAGCGGAGGATTTTTCACCATGGAGATTCCTTCATCTCTTTTATGAAGCCTCAAGGATGTGTGACAGGGAACGTTGTATTATTATGAAAGAGAGGAAGGACATTCAAACTAACATTCAGTGAGGTTATTGTTTGTTTTAAAGACATACTAAGTAGTATTTTCCTGAAAAAAAAAAAAAAAACGGTTTACAGACTCATACAATAGTAATCCCTCTCAATTATTATTTATGATACAATACAAGTATGTGGCTGTGTTTTTATTTGTAGAGACTCTGCCCTCTGCCTGTATTTTAGTTATGGGTGTGTACCCCCCCACAGCACTCAGGTGAGGCCGGGGCTTTATAGAAAGGTAGCAACCAGCTGCCAGACCGTAAGCCATAATTACTGTCACAGCAGCCTGATGTTTTTACATTATTATTAATACTTACAGGTATTGTTTTCCACCAGATACATGTGATGGGAGCACTTCACAGTTTGCTGTTGAGTACAGCTGAAAAGGACAATTTAAATGGACTGATTATAAGCATCAGATTACACGAGTACGGGAGGGGCTGGAGCCAATTGCGGCTGAATATGGGTGACAGGCGGTTTACACCCTGGACAGGTCGCCAGACACAGAGACAGACAACCATTCACACTCACATTCACACCTACGGGCAATTTAGAGTCACCTATTAACCTGCATGTGTTTGGACTGTGGGAGAAGGTTGGAACACGTGGAGAAAAACCACGCTGACACAGGGAGAACATGCAAACTCTGCACAGAAGGGCCCCGGTTAGCCAGCGAGTCCGAACCTGGAACCCTAATGCTGTAAGCCAGACTAACTACTGTGCCACCATGACGTCCATAATGTATTTATCAAGTTAATTTAGAAGCACACACGAACTGTATAAAAGAAATGTACAAAAAGTGAAGTCGATGCTTAAGTGCTTCAAACCTGCAGTCTTTCTAATGGCCAGCAGGGGGCGGCTCCACTGGCTGCAAAATGAAGTCTGATTGTGTATAAGTCAATGAGACTTTATTTATGACCTCGGTAAACACTTTCCTATTAGGTTTATGGTCTTGATCGCTAGTTTTAGGTCTTCTTCAATACAGCATGATGTTCATTGTGTAAATTATGGTCCTATTATTAGTAAAATGGACAATAAGGCAGGGTATGCTTCAGGGCATGGCTACGTTGTGACTGATGACCTGTCAATCAGGATAGAGACGTAGCAATGTAGAGTCTCTTCCCAAGCTCCACCCTCTTGTCTAAATATGGTCACTTCTGGTTCCAAAAAAACCAAGATGGCAACAGCCAAAATGCCAAATAACGCTTTAAAACATAAGTCCGATAACCAATGGGTGATGTCCACAGATAGTATTGCTGGTATCATTGACACAAAACAGCAGAACTGGATATAAATAATCTGTGTCTTTAATACATTTAAGTGTGTAACCATCTTGTCCTAGAATTTCCGGAAAGAGATATACATTTCTTTAAAGACCATTTTATATCATTTTTGGTACCTATTTTCAATTGTTATACAAGAAAAGGCCAAAGAACAGTCAGGTTAGGGAGCAAGAGTTCAGTCTCTTACCTTTCTCACAGTAGGGTTCGCCCTCCTCCATGTAGAAGGCTTGATTCCTGATGGGAGTCTTGCATGCTGCACACTTGAAACACTCGACATGGTAGGTCATCTTCAGGGCGTGCATGATTTCCTGATGAAAGGAGACAAGGTTGTGCATTTTTTATTTTCAGCTCAGCTGGTGTTGCTGGAGTACAGTGGAGGAGACATCCATATATTCTCGTACAAAGAAAAAGAAAAAACCTTTCATGTTTTTGGGTTTGTGTTTTGATTTTGTTCAACACAGCACTGCGGTTCTCACCCCTGTGATCTTCTTTTTGCACTTGGCACAGTTCGGAGCATATCGGTTATCGTGGCACTTGGTACAGTAGACAGACCCTCTCTCCTCGAAGAAGCCCCCCTCATCCAGGACCGCCTTGCACTGTGAACAAGTAAACTCCTCTGGGTGCCAAGAACGCCCCAGCGCTACCAGGTACCGACCTCTGGAAAACACACACACACACACACACACACACACACATTAACAGCACATCAGAGGCATTGAAATCTGCTGAATCACTTTCCAGATTAACAGGGAAAACAAGGACAGCTCCGTTGGAAATGTCAGCACATGAATAACAACACACAGGAAAAGCACACTGGTCCCTCTTTGTGAAACATCAACAAAAACTAGAGACGTGTTTTTTAGCTCTACTCAGAACTTTGCACCTTCATTTATTGAGAAACACTTCTTCTGTTTTCTTGTAATAGTGACCAGAATAAGAACTAAGGTTTCCCTGTTATCTGTGAAATGTGTGAAATGAGATTTAAATTATTTCAAAGTCAGCATAATGCTTGTCTCCAGTGATAACACCATGTCTCCAAACTGTGTTAATTATGCTGACTGACTAAATTTGCTGCAGACATACAGTCTGTCATTGTGTACCTCAACTGTGTTAAGTGATGTGTCACTTCTCTAACAGGACTTTGAAAGGAGCAAACAAGTATTAACTGGTAAAATTATTCTAACTGTCACTGCAGACGTGGCGGTGCGGTCTCACCTTATGATTTTGTTGCATGCACCGCATACCGGGGTCCTCCCGCTGTCTTCGGGTGCCTGCTGCGCTGCCTGCAGGATGGAGCTGCGGTTCTCCATCGGCGTCGGCTGGACCGGCTGCTGGTGCTGGGTCACGACGGTGCTAGTCTTGTCAGGGCGGAAGCGGTCGGCGAAAGTGGGGTCAGTGACCCACGGTGGTCGACAGGAAGGACCTGAACGGCCTGCTGCTGCAGCTGCAGTCTTGGAGCCTGAGCCAGAAAAAAAAAAGGAGATTTGTTTTTGGAAATGCAGCACTTAGAAAAACTTGGCTGTGACTTTGAATAATTTCACAATGGGAGGGAGCCACTTTTCTATAATGTGCGTGCTCCCTTCAGATGTATGTTGTGACAGGTTTGCATGTCGTGTTGTTGCTGCTGATGCTCATGTACTGACACTTAATAAGAATCTATTAGCACAACCTCTACTGGATGCTGCTGGGGTTCTTTATACTCATCAGCAGGAGCAGAAACTCACCATCTGGTTTATCTGCTGCCTGGGCCTTGGCAGGTGAGGGAGTTGGCTCAAGGCTGTGGGGAGAAAATGACTAATTAGAAGAGGCACACACACACATACACACACCTCAGTAACCATGGTTACTACTCAACGAACGTCATGTTTGGAATCAGCAGCCATGGCTGTCACCATAGTGTTTTGCCACAGATTACTTTCTGTGTGAACGATCATAAGCATCCTCATCATTAATATTAATCAGCATCAACAAGATTAGCATGGGTTCCTAACCTGTTGTGGCAAGATGAGCTGGTTGAGCAGATCCAGGTGGATGTTAAAGAAAATACACTGTAACAGAACTGGAATTGATTTGCAGGCTGTTTCACATGATAACACAGGTCATTATGACACAAAATCAATCACCTAATTCAACTGATCGATGCTGAACAACAGATACCGTGGTGTGCATCCAGTAAAGACATTATAGCTCTGCATCGAGATGGTTCAAGAGCCGCTACTCTAATGAGAGCAATCAGACACCTGAACGTCTCAGATTGATTGACATCACTCACAGGCAAAAGTTAAAGAACGAGAAACTCAAGACGCGTTGTGCTGTCAGATTTGGATGCAGACGAGTTTCGCTTCAAGCCTGCATGTGCAGAAGTATTGAAATAAAGAGTTGTTTCTACATTTCAAAGTTCTGTTACCCGCAGCAAGCGTCACTATATTCAGAAAATCTTCAAACCATGACTGAGAAGGAAAAACAACTTCTGAGCCAAGACAGTGAGCTCTGGAGACGTCTTATCTTGGGAAAAAATATAACACCGCCTTAGGCATCCATCATGTTTACATCATCAACTGTGCCATCTACAATACACTAATGAAAGATGATGAAATCGTTTCTCATTTGCAAAGTAAAAGAAAATGTGAAATGAATTACCCTGCGACAGCCTTGTACTATAGCATCGCCTGTATCAGGTTAAGTCTGCCTATCAATTATACTCCTTGTGTAGCCAAACAACTAAACACAAGAATTTACAGAGGCAGGAGAAGTTAAAGATTTACAGCTGGGAGCCATCTAGCAAGGAGGAGAATAAAAACAGTCTGCTATTTTCCAGCAGAATACTCTGAATAATAAAAGGACATTAAATCCCTTTGCAATAGCAGGGAGATGGCTTGCAGGGCTGGTGACAGAGAGGAAGTTAAATCTTTCTAAATTAAGGAAGGTAAGACCCCCTTCTTACCAGGAGATTTTTGAAAAGAAACTACAGCACAACAGAGTCAAAGTAGAGAGGAGGCTGGCTGAGAAGGATCACTGGCGGCTGGGTCAAGCAAAGGACAGGACAATCCTGTTTCAGCCTGTTTGACACACAGACCCTGGGTCAGCTGCCCTTCGCCCCACACAGTGGCAAGCCTGCCTTCAGGGACCCCACCGAACAACTCGCAAAACACATCCTGGGCTACACAGCAGCCCCGGCTACACTCCCTTGTCGTGCTGCCCTACATGACAACAGGCCAGTGGATCTGACTCCTCAAATACCTTTGAGATGTTTGTTTGGCTGCATCTCACTCTGGTGAAGGTTGCAGGTGCAAATTGGAGAACATCCTCTACAGCTGCTTATTCCCACCTGGTGCAGCCTGGATCATGTTTTCTTGACATTTTCGCCGGTTTCAACATCCTCTTCCCCCGCCTGCTCAGTGAGATGCAGGGGCAAAATTCCTGCATCAAAGACCACGCAGACAGGAGGGTTTGTTTTTTCCTTCTACAGAGTTTTGGACATGCTGCAGAGCAGCACCCCAGTATTCCCATGGAACATTTCCTTGACATTTCCTGTTCACTCTTTACACCTCTGGTTTTAGATTCACCTGGGTTTTTTTTTTTTTTGGCTTCCTCTCCCGTGGGATGCATCGACCTGAGCAATGAGGAAAGTAGGAGTTTGTTGGCAGCTCAACATCCGGCTGAGAAAGGAGCAGGTTTTGATTTTAGATGGAGCAAGAAGCCACTGACATCTGTCACCCACCACAGTGTGGAGGTAAAAGTGATGCAGCTCTGCAAGAACTCGAATGTGACAACTGACAAAATGTGAAACAAGGGTGACACACGTCTGAGAGGGCAGAGAGAGGCAAAGCTTTTCTACAGGCTGCTTTTTATGTTTCTGTCATCTCTAGCTCTTCATTTTTTACAAAGCATATAATGTCAAGAAAATGATTTTGCAGTTAATACAATAAGAGATGACACTGCAGGTGAAGAGAGGTTTTTCTATCACAAGTTTTCAGAAATTTTACATTTAAATATGCAAATGATGCATTATCTAATTAAGTATGTGTCTTTTGCATACATTTTCAGAAGAGAAATCTGAGCACTGAATAAAGCCAGTTTATGTTTCAATTTATTAACATATAAGAATCAAAGATTTTTTTTACAGGGGGTTTTGGACGATTCTTTTTATTAATCCATAAACCAGAAAATATTGTGAACACCCTTCAAAGAACAACATTTTTTGCCATTTTTTTAAGGAAAAAAGTCTTATGTCATCATTCATAGTCTGTATAAATCAGGCTATGAATACTATATGAACAAATCCCTCAGTAAAAACCTTCAGAATATAGATGGAAATGAAACTGCAAAGTCTGACATATGAAAGTGCTACTGATGTGGAGATTTCTGGCTCAGAGTATGACAAAATATCATTTTGAGAAAATGGCTTTTTATGAAATCTATTGTGAAATTCCATACATTCAAGACCAAAGATAAGATGCTACAGGTGAATAGGGTGAATGTGTTAATCAACAGATGTCACCATGACACTTCCCTAGTTAAATACTTCCATACATAGAATTATTTTTTTGTATTACAAGTTTTCTGAAATGTTATGCATTATCTAATTTAATATGCGCTATATCTAAATGTGTAGTTTGCAAGTGGTTTTCCCACTAGTCTGAAAGACGACATGTTATGGTGGCAAAATTGCCCAAAATCACAAAACTGACCAAAGCATGTTTTTACCTGTAGCGTCTCCCTTTAACTGAGAGACTATATTTGTTTTTTTGTTGTTGTTTTGTTACATGTGGCATGTCTACCTATTACACACTTTGTTTCCCACTCTCCTGCTACTGTTGTCTGCTGTGATTCCTCCACATGCTTTTGTTGGCTGACTCCTCCTGACTTAACAAATTTGACATTAAGTGCATGACAAAGCCGCCTGCCTGCTGTCTTGATCCCCTTATTGGCACAGACATGATAGTTAAGTGTTTGTCACTTTATATAGTCACTTGTTTATTTGGTAATACTGTCAAGAATGATTTAATTACCACTGACAAAATTATAGCTGAACCTTAATATCCATTTTCTGTGTGTGAAAACCCCCCAAAAATATTTCCCTTTTTTTAATATAACCTACTGTTTTCTTCTTTAAAATAGCACAACTATCCTGTTTCCTGCTGCCATTATATTCTTTGTTTCTTTAAACTGTGCAAGGCCAAGCACTATTATTCACATGTTTTTATCACAAACCATTAGGCAGTATCGCTTCAACCCTCCCACATTTTTCTCCTGGCCACCGAAAGGACAAAGTACGTTTTGTGCCTTGTCTGACAAACATGGTTTTAATAGTTTCCAGTTGTTTTCCTAAACGTTATCAGGGGTAATGCATGGTACATAACCACCAAAACATTAAGTCAAAGTCTTGAGTGCAACTTGCTATTAGATATTGCGTTAACTCTTTATTTAGATAGTCCGCCTACAGATAGTAGTATTTGTAACACTTTAAAATTTTATTAGTTGAGGTTTAACTGTTTTGCTTAGTCTGCGACAATTCATGAGCATACCTACATATTCTCTGAATAATTCAGTCGAATTTGAACCATTTACTCAACCTATGCAGCCACTTAAGTGAATACTTAAATTTCAACTAAATTATTCTGAGAATATGTATTGAATCCTCACATATACTGCAAAAATGAACATCTAGAGAATAAAGAGAAACTGTTGAATTGTTAAATCTCAACTAATAAGCCATTGAAATGTTACAAATACTCCATAAACCATCTGTAGGCGGACTCTCCAAACAAAGTGGTGCCGGTATTTTCTCTCTGATAAAGGCCACTGCACTACTGAAGCAATTACTCGGCTGAACTCTAGCTATGATAATGTTGTTCTTTTTATGAGGTTTTAAATACTCTTGGATATTTCTTATTCAGGACTAAAGGCTGCAATTCCTCACCGTGCACCTCTTCACTGTTTTTATACCTGACTGCACAACAATTTTCTCTCTGAGGCAATAAAAGTAAACCTTGAACCCCCATCTTTGAGAAGGAACACCATTAATTCAGATCTGCATACATACAGAGGAAACCCCGCCTTCTACATAATCATCTCAGTATAATAGGTAAAGACGCTGTTGTGATTCAGCAAAAGAAAGAAGTCGGACATCACAGATTTATCCTTCTAAGCTGGAATAGTGAATAAACAAGAAGAAAGGAAACACAGAAGAAAGGACAGGGAAGCGAGAGTTGCTTTTTTTTTCCAGATGTTTTATATTTTTGATGACAGCAGAAAAAAAAAAATACAGATTTATCTTCCTTTTCTTTAATGGTTGGAGAAGCCTACAAGATGAGGGGATCACAAATGAAAACTCTAAAGAATGAATGGAAACAGGCAGAGAGAGTGAGATAGAGAGACAGACAGAGATCAAAGGAGGGTCTGAACTTCACATTCAAAAAGAAGAATAACGAACAGAAAGGTGCTTCCCACCGCTGAGACCCCCCTTCCCACCTTCCCACAGCTCAACTCCAAGTAACGCAGTGTGAAATGGAAAACAGGGCCGCAGACACAGTGGTCCACAGTGTTGTCAACAATCATCAAGTCAGAGATTCAGAAGGAGATCTTACACTTAGGCTCAGTATGCAAGGTTCCACTTTAGGCTTTGTCATCTAGGCTATGTTTCTTCTATTTTTGGTTTGCTTTTCTTTTCTTTTTTTTCCCTCAAAACTTCTTTTTTCACCCCATCTGTATCTGAAAGGTGAATTTGTTAACTGCCATTGGACGGTCGGCTATCTTCGTCGTCTTTGTCACGTA